TATTAATTTATCGGGTATTAGTTTATCGAAGTTTTACTGTATTTCTTCAGTTAATTTTATCGCACTTTACAAATAAGTTCATCAATGGGTACTTAACATAAAGAGGTCAAGATAATAAACTATCTTACAAAAAAGTGCACACATGGTCCAGAGGTTTGAAAAAGACTAAAATAGCCACTCATATTTTAATATACTTCAATTTCATCATTTAATTTAATCTAACCTCAATTTGACCCCAAATTTCACAAATTATTCAATTTTAACACAAAACACATTTTTATGGACAATTTGGTCCGTCACCGCCGTTGACTTTTTTTTTCTTTAGCATCTTTTTGCCCCCGTTTAAACAACTATATTGATTTGATTGACAATAATATTAACTATATTACTGTTAAACACAGTAAAATTAACTATACTACAGTTTAACACAATAATATTCCTATATTAATCTCTAGCAGAGTTATATTAACACAACAAAACTCATTATTATTGTGTAATAGAGTAATATTAATATGTTGACCGTTCAACAAATGTAAGAATAAAAAAAACCAAAAGAATTAATATTACTGTGAGTGACAGTAATATTACTATAACAAATCTGGGACGGCCGTCCCATGCCAAATTCTTCAAATTTTTGATTATTTCACTTTTGGCCCATATTTTCTCCAAAATTGCAGTATGACCCCAAACTTTTCCAATTCTTCAATTTGTACCTAAAATACAATAGATAAACTTTTTAAGCACCAATTATCGTTAAATCACACCAAAAGCTCAAATAAAAAGATACGATAAAGTGTAAAAATATACACTTAACACATGCATAGACCTTGGCCGATTCTGGAGAAAAAAAGTTCGCCTAAAACCAATGCTTATTGAGTTTGAGAGGGATACATCCATTGAGGGGTGAGAAATATCGCATGGGTAGGAGTCATCACCATTGGTTGAAGTGAGCATATAAGCCTCAGTTGGGTGAGTGACGTTTGCAAAAAAAAATTGGGGAGACTGACTTACATCATTTAAATTGGAATTTAAGTTTAGGGTTTGGATATTAGGTAATATCAATTTAATTTTTTTTTTGAAAATGGGGTATTAAGATCACCCGAGAATCTTTTGAGAGATCCATCAACACTTGGGCTTCTACCAGATTTTAATGAACTTGTTTAGGGTTAAAGCCCACTTATTCTAATTCAATTAGGGGGGGGGGGGGGGATTAATTTATTTATTTTAAAGATTTCTCTAGGGAATCGGGGGGCATTTCGGGGCCAAGATTGCATGTTTGGAGATTTGGTGCGTCGGAGGATATTCATTGATATCATATGGGTCAGCTCCCTTTAATGTAATTTTATTAGAAGCTGCAAAATGCATGATTTGGGGAGTAGATTCAGAAATGTTGATATTATAAATGGCTGAATAATGGGTCAATCAGTCAGATATTGTCACGTGGTTTTTGTTTTCCAAAGAAAGTTTATTTGTGGATATCCGGGTTTTATGGATATTTTTAGGTTTACCACCACGAGAACAGTATTCCGGTGAGGTTACAGTGGTTTTGGCGATAGAATCTTGTTTTTTCTTAGCCGAGAAGAGACAGGCTCAAAAAAGAAGGGGTTTGGGATAAGGAGTTTTTCAAATTTGAGCCATAGATCATAGATGCATTGGGAACAATTTGCAATATCTTCCAATAAAAACCACACGAAAAAAAAAAACTCAACTAACCTATCATACCTGATTTCAGTTGATTTCAGTCCAGAGATCAGCTCCTCATGGGCGAGCAAGAGTAACAGAGCCAATGACATGTTTGGTAGTGTCAAGAAAGATGTTGACTCGGAAAGATCTTTTTCATTTATGGATGGTAGAGTGAGGTTCTGTCACCGATTTTTTCAGCAGACTGAGGATTGATAAGGCAAGCAGATAAGTTGAAAATTTGGATCCAAAAAGGGATTTTTGTAAGGTCAATTTTAGAGATCGATTTGTCAGGAGGCCATAGCCTTAATATGACTTGGGAATCTCTAAAGGACCAAGAGAGGTTTTGAATTTTATGGACGACAATGGGGGATTCGAAAATGAATGCCATGGTTTTTTGGTGAAGCTGGTTGGTGAAAGTACAACCTTTAGGGTTCCAAACTTTGAGCATTGTGACTTTCAAGGCATTCATATTGATGTTTTTTGTGAGCGTGAATTTTGGCTATAAGAGTGTGTTCTTCTTCAAAAGGAGCATTTTTGGTGTCGGTTGTTTTAGAGCATTGATGCTTGTCGGTTTGGGCTATGAGCTCATTAATGGGGGTGGTGATTGCATCGTAAACGAAAGTGAGGGGAACAAAAGCATAAACAAGAGCAATAAATGAATGGAGAGGAAGGAGGAGAACAAGGATGAAGATCTGAGATAACTGAGTACTAATGGGGTATACTTAGTGTGGGTTGTACACTCAATTTATACCATTTTACGAGAATTTTGTGGGATTTTGTCGATATAATGGTGCTTAATGACTTGGTCTTTGATGAAACGCTCAAAAACCGGTCAAAGTCAAGCAAGAATGTAAGAAAACAATTCGGAGACCAAACATGACCTGAGACAGCCGTTCTAGTATCATTACTGATTCTTAGACGATCATCCTAAATGGAGAAATCTAACAGAAGCGCGCGACGACCGTCCCAGAAATGCACTGATATGAGATCATCCTCCGAAGGCACGCAGAGGCACAATTTGGGAGTTCTAATTGCATAAGGAAACCCCGATATTTTACAAAGTTTGGACATCTATATAAAGTAATGAGTTGAAACAAAACTTTATTAACCAATTGTTGAGTGTAGATTTTGCACTCATTACATTTACTTTACGTGAATCTTTTGTTTATATTTAATTATATTTGTGCTTTAATTGATTAATTTTGTGTTTTATAGGTGAAAAACGAGACTTACGTGTCAATGAAGGAAAAATGATTAAAAAAAGAAAAAGTTGCAAATAAGGAAGTAAATCAAATTAGAAGAAGGAATCTCGCAACAACTTTGGCAGTGTCCACCATTTCGAGCATATCTTTCTCATACGAACTCCAAATCACCTCATTCAAGCAGCATTGAAAAGCTAACTTAAAGGGCTACAATTTGTATTTCACGTAACAATCCAAAATTCAGACTCAAACATCGTCAACATCGGATTCAAAACCGACCAAGTGCAGAAAAAGCTTCGGCCAGCCGGCCCAATTTTGTACTAAAATCTGGGACGGCCGCCCCTTGATGCGAAAGTGAGCATAGGCTACGAAAATTGAGATGGCCGTCTCGGAATGGCCAGAAAACTCATACAGCCATCCGAGACCCCGATTTTGCACAGTCGGAAGTTTTAATTGCACAAGGAAGCTCTTTCCTTTTGATCAAGTTTTAACCACTATATAAACATAATTCAATGGGATCCAACGATGAAATTTTACACCACAAAACGCAAAGAACGAAGATCGACGAAGATTCAAGCTTAGTTTTTCTTATTTTTTTTATGAATTTTATTTTGTTTATCATAAGAACTACGAGTAGCTAAGTATTTATTCGAACCCTATGTGGGATGTGAACCCAATTCCATGATTTTATGCAAGTATTAATTTTGGACTATTTCTTCTACTTGATTAATTAAGTGCATGAAATTGATCACTTTATGTGCTTTATTTTTATTATTGGATGCATGAACCGGGAGATCGGTTCAACAATTAGAACTGTTGTAGAAAAGCCTTTGTTGTGTTATCATAGGAATATAGTTAACCTCTTAGGTAGCTATTATTGAGATTTATGCTTAATGCTTTGTTCTTAATTGAATTGCGTAGGAATACAGTAATTTAATCCTTGATAATAGAATCGTAATACACGCGGAAGCGAGTTTTGATTAAATTAGCATCTTAGGTTAATAATCCGAATTATTTGCTTGCATAATTGAGGGAATTGGATGATCAATAATCACATAGGGGAAAAATAATATACTAGGCTCGTTTAATTTGATAAATCTTCGTGCTATTTACTTACTTATTTTTGCTTGATTATTATTTGTATTTTATATTTTAGTTTAATTCAGTTAATCTTCTCTAAATTCAACTGTGTAGGGTGGACTTGAACATAATTGTGACAATCTAGCGCTTAGAATTAGATAGTTGAATATTCCTCGTGAAATGGATATCCGAAGTTAATTGTCCTCGTGAAATCTGATTTCACACGAGCACTGTTGAAATGCTCGCATGTTTTTGCACGAGCATCTTATAAATCAAAAAAAAAAAAAAAAAAAACTAATAATAATCTGCTCGTGTAAAAACACACGAGCGGTTGCAAACTGCTCGTGTGATTTCACACGAGCACTTTGCAACCACTCGTGTGTTTTTACACGAGCAATTAAAAAAAATAAAAAAAAATAATAAAAATGCCTGCTCGTGTGGATTTACACGAGCACAGTGGATGCGCTCGTGTAAATTCACACGAGCAGGCCAACGTGTGATTTTTTTCGTTTTTTTTTTCCGGATTCGTAATCTACATAACAAGAGGATCGTAAAAACGTAAAAATTACCTCCGATCTGTTGACGATTTGCACGGGCTTTGCGAAAGAAAATCGAAAGGTTGAGAGAGTTTTGAGTTTTTTTACTTTTTGTTTTTTGAAAAATGGTAAAAAATGTGCCTGAATGTTTAATTTTGGCCTGCACAAATCATTTCAGTTTCTAAAATTTGGGTCGTTTGGTTATCCCTACTATTTAATAAAAAAATACAAAATTCGAATTTTTTGGAGAAGCCTAGAGCAAATGTAATTCTTTTCCCGAGGTGACATGGTTCCCCCAACATTTCTTAAATCATCCCCTATCTCTATATTTTTTTCACCATTTCCTGAAATTAATAGTCTGTTAGAAATTTATCTTAATAACGTATCCAATGCATTATCCCATTAGAGTTTCTAACAATGTTTCAGGGATGATTGTAATTACCGATACAACAAGGACCTTAAATTTATTTTAGAATACCTCAGGGGTGTAGGTGTAATTTACCGAAAATAAAAATAGAAAAGGAATAAAAACATGTTTCGCTTGGGTAATTGATTCAAGTTTTTTGATCGAACCAAAGGCTAAAAACATCGACCGAACCCTCGTCTCGAATCGCTTTCTAAACCAGAGCGGAGGCGTTTGCTCGTCGCACCGATGGTTTGGGGTCTCTTTCCCGTCGATCCACTTCCAGGTATTCATTTTACATTCCGGAAGATTTTGCGTTCTTCAGTGGGGAATTTAAACAAACACCTTGTATACCTGTAGTAGCGTGTTCCCATTTTTTTTTTAAATTCCGGCGGCGAACCTCACCAACCACTACGGCAACCTAACCCTGTGTGTTCTCGAGGGATTTTTGTCTATATTGTTGTTTAGATGACTCGCCCAAATGAAAAACTTTGCCTCTGCGTGGAGAAAAAAATGTTGTATATGAGTGACAAAGTGCAACCGTAACTGGAAAAAAAGGGAATTTTCTTTAGCACGTATAGATTACAAAGAAAAACTGTGCAAGTGGGATTTGGCCAATTGGCCCAAATAACTGTTTTTTTTTTTGACATAAAATGCACTAATTATGATAATTTTTATTCTCCATTCTGTTACCGATGATGGGTTATCGAATTTGTTTCTCTGCGGATTGTCTTTGTACATTATAACTAAATAGTGCGTTGAGTATTTATCATTGAATTTTGCGGAAGTTAAGAAAATCTACTGTTGAAGTTCCTTATAGTACATTTTATATCTTACGAAAAATTTCCTTGAATCGTCTGGCTGGTTTGTTAGGATGAGTGATCTAGCATTTGATTAAGTTGAAGTTCCTTAATAGTACATTTTATCTCTTGCAAAGAGTTTGCTTGATTGTCTGGCTGATTTGTTAGGATGAGTGATCTAGCATTTGATTAAACCAGGAGTTTCTTCGCTTCCATAGTCATAACACTTTGGCTGACATGGTTACGTTTATTATAACTATTACTTCTTGACTAGATTCTACCATATATATTTGTCCAATTATGATGGCAAATTTATGAATGTACTTTCGGATTGGAATTTTTCAGAAGGTTTCATTTTCGAAATCATGAAGTGTTATAATGTTATATCCCCGTTTCTTTATTGTGATAGACCGATTTTCAGTCATATGGTATAACAGATGTGGGCTTACGTATCAATTGTAGTTCCTCTGCATATTTTCGATTGAAGGTATGAGCATCTCATGCTTCAAGTATTCTTTATTTTGCAGGTGAACTTGAATATTATATCTTCAGCAAAGGAACATACAAAGTGGGCCGAAAAGGTACTCTTCTTTATGATTTATTTGTTAAATCATATACCCGTACACTTGCATCATTTTACTAAAGCTATATGAGATTTGAAGCTATATGAGATTTGTCGTAAAGGGGAATCTTTTATGTGTTATAATATCTGTCAGAGAGAGCAGATTGTTTGATATTGATCTTGATGCCATGCGATAACTCGTCGAGCAACAAATCTGATATCTATCTTGGCTACTGCCATATTGCTCAGACTCGATTCCCATCACATGTTTGTCTAAGCAGAATATGGAGGAAATTTATATTCCTTCGTATAAAAGTTTTTATATTAATTTTTCTCGTAATTCACTAAATTAATTATGAAATTTAACAGTAATGATGTGTATGCAGAAGAGTATGATATTCATATTCTACTATCCTCTATATGCATTAGTATTTATAAATTATTGGGTGTAGTTACTTTCACTCTCAACTTGTCGAGTCGCCTTCACTCTTGAAGTGATAATATTTTTTGGTTGATCGAAAAAGTTAAACCTAATTCACGTAACTGTTTGGAGAGCACGAGTATTCAAAAAGTGGATAAATTTGAGACTTTTGCACCAAAAAAACATCTTAGAGCATGCTCTATTCCTTTCCTATGCTATAAAATGTGATATTAACTTCCGTCATCTGACGTTTTCTTTTACTGTTCTTCTGACATGTAATCGATGTTCTTCTTCGTCTTATATTAAATGTAAAAATATTTTTGTAGGATGTGATATAATTACTAATAAAGACAAAGGAGTGTCAAGGGTACATGCAGAAATTATTGTAGATGAAATGGTTTGCATGGATCATTTACAAAAGAGACTTTCACATAAATCCTCCAAAGTTCGGATAAGAGACTGCTCCAAGTACGGGACCTTTATTAACAAGAATACGGATTCTAAGGAAAAGGTTCATGAATTTTCCAATAAAGAGACAACTCTGACCGATGGGGACCTTGTCGCATTTGGAACTGGAAACGCAAAATACAGGTAATTCAGTGTTATTTTTCTTTTCTTTTTCCCCCTTTAGCAATTTTACCCTACATTAATAATGGATAGGTTTTTTTAGCTCTTCTGTTGTGGTCTGGGGTGGGTCGTTTGCGCCTGGGATGGGTTGCCATTGGCGAAATTTTTTGTGGTCAGCTGGGTGGTTGATGTGGTGTTTAAAAAGGAAGGATGTACAAACAAAATACAAATTATACAAGACGAATTTTATAGATTTTTCAAAAACATTTTTGTGTTTACGTACTTATTTTAGAAGTAATAATTATAAATATTTAAGTATATTTATTTTCAAGTAAAATAGATCGACTGATAGTTCAATGTATAATGATTGCTATAAATTAAGTATTAGTAAACACACACACACACACACACACACACACACACACACACACACACACACACACATCCTTGGCCGTATCTCACTAATAGTCCCTCATCTTAACATTTAGTCCCGCTTTAGTCCTTAAATATTTATGTCTCTATCGTCTCATTTTCATTCCTCAATGTTACAATTCATCTCATTATAGTCCCCTTGTGTATAAATTTGTTAACTTTAACGGAATCTCTTCAAGATTGGATGGAATGTTCCATTGTTAATTATTTTTGATAAATTATGAAAAAATAATAAATAATTAATTTTATAATTTAAAATAATATTTACAACCAAGAAAAATATAATTTATAAATATAAAACTTAAAAAATTATACAACATATTAATTGTTATTAATATACAAATAATCATTTAGATTTTATTTGTTGATATAAGTTGCATTTAGGAACATATCAAGTGATTATGATATATCATCTACATATATTCTTTATTTTAATTTACTTATATTTCTTATGATTTGATGTTAATATTTAAAGAACTAATTCAATTATATATGTTCTTCTATTGTTCTTATTTTATTTATTGTTTATTAAAAATAATTATAAAAATAGAACATTCCATCCATTAAATAAAAGATTCCGGTAAAGTTAACCAAGTTATACACCGAAGTACTAAATGAGATGAATTGTAGGGTTGAGGGATGAAATGAGACAATGGAGACATGAGGGACCTAAAGCGGATCTATATAATAAGATGGGGTACTATTAGTGGGATTTGGCCTACATTCTTTTTGATATAGTTTGTACTATACTATGCTTGTAGTTGCTTATATTGTATGTAGGTGTAAAGCAAGGGTAAAGTAGTCATTTAAATGGAGTTATAAGTTAAGTTTAAGTGTTTAGGAAATTATCTTCCCATTTTAAGTGTGTGGGACAACACACCCATTAGTTTATGATTTGTTTTGCAGATTTATTTTTTACTCTCTGCTTAAACGGCCTTTTTGGCAAATAAATAGTTAAATACTTGATTTTTTGAGTCATCTTAATATAAATACAATAATGTTACGTTTTACAAATTTACTCATATGGCAGGTTTTCTTTTGTTTCTCTTGTAATTTTTGCACCGTCCAAGTCTTTAGAGATGAATCAACTACAAGACAAGATGTCGTCGATTGGTAAGTTTATTTACTTATAATTTCTAAATATATATATATTTTTTTAAATCATATTAATGTTAACTGATACTGTTAGTTTTATATTATGTATGTACATCTTAAACATGGGTGAATGAGTGTCGAGGGGAGTAAAGGGTGTGGAGATAGAATGGTCATATTTGATTTTGGTTGTTGAGATAATCTTTAATATATTCAGCATGCAGGTGCCGGTGTTAGTCAAACATGGACTTCAAAATGCACGCATATGGTTATTGATGACTTCACCTCTATGAATGATGACATCATTGACGCTATAGTGGCTAAAAAACCCCTTGTCAGATTTAGCTGGATCGAGGTATTTCTGCACTCACAATTCTCCACTCGAATAAGATAGCTCTGCTTCTCAAGTGCACACCCTCAAACGTTCAAAATATAATTAGAATGACTCAGGACAAGTCTCATTGCACGTAAATTACGGCAAACTGTACTTGGATAATTTGCGAATAATATTTATAACTGAAGGCATAGGTTTTTTATTCGGAATGGCAGTTGGAAGTTAGCTGTGACTCTGTTCAATTTATGTATGATGTGAAGAACATACATTGAAATGTCAAGGCTTATTACGTGGCAATTTCTTTAAGTTGTTTTCTTATTCCTGTGAATTAAGCTGCTATTTTTTCTTACACATATTTTTCTTTTTGGAATTTATAACGTGCTGCTTCGATAGTCATTTGACTTTCCCGTGTTACGTAATTACTAACTACTGGACTACGGTATTCAGTTAATTGCAGGAAAAACTATTTGCACCGAAATGCCAAGCTCCCTCTCGTGAGTATACTCTTCCTCCCGACTTAACTTCTCATCTGCCTTTTTCTGGTGGTTAAGAGGTACTTTCCTTTCTGTATTAGGCATGCACCAACTTTAACATTCGAAGGGGTATCTCTCAAAGTTGCTGACCAACAATCTCGAGAACATTGTTTGAAAGGATACACTTTTCTGTTGGAATCTATACACGAGGTATCAATCATACTTCAACTATTTCATGCTTTCAAATGGCAGTCAGGTTCCATTTGCTTATAAGTTCTAATACATGGCAACAGTATGTAAACTTATTTTGTATTAGCATGTGTATGTACATGCACATTTACATTTACATAATTAGCAGTGTATAGAAAACCACAGTACAGTTTATGGTGTTCACACACACACACACACACACACACATATATATATATATAGTACACATGACAGGGATAATAGTATGGTATATCTGTTGTCCCAATATTCTATAATTGCTCGTACATTGAGATCCATATAAGAGCTATTTTGGGCATTTGACTAATTGACTTTTAAAATATCCGCTGTTGAAACGTTTGACTTATGGTTATTTTTAGATGATAGTTTCGCATTTTAAATATCATCCGCTCTTATCCCTTTCTCCTTTTTCCTAGCAGTATAAATTTAAGGAAAAGTTGCAGTTGCTTTTGGAAGCGGGAGGTGCAAAAGTTGTTTATGCTGAAACTCTGGATCCATGTGCCCACGTATGTTATATATCTGTTTTTCGTCTATATCTTCGTCTTTAAACCATATTAATTTTTTTTTAAAACAATAAGCAATTTTTCTCATGCAATCCACAAAGTCATTGGTACGTTCAGATAACACAATTGTATAGCAAAATGCGTGTCTGTACTAAAAAGCCCCAGAATTTTCTTTATTGACTGAACAAAAATATTAAAAAGCTTTTCTCCAAAGCCAATCCAGTAATACATGTTTATCTAACCTGATTGATGACTGTTATTCATGAAAACTCTTTACTGCATGTCATAGTGACCAGATTATGTCATGGAGAAGCTTAAATATGCAGCTGTACTATTTTACGAGTGTACGATGTAGAAGAACGATGAAATTGTACATCTTGAGAGTAGGAACAATATTCAAATGAGGAAATGGTTTTGTCTCTTAGTCTAATGGAAATTCTCTTTAATGCACGTGTTTTTAAATGACTCATAAAATGCACCTATTGCTGCAGACCTATCGCTTGTAACATACAGCAGTTCTAAATGGTTGTTTTGACTTGTTGCATAGCACAAAGAACTCTCTAGACTTGTAAAAAAATGTTAATTTTGGATCAATAAATGCACGTGTTACACATTCTTATTACGTAGTTTGTAACATGACTGACTTAGGCGTGTAATAATTTGGTGGAGATGTGAGTTGATAAGGTTATCACCTTATCAGAACTTTCGTACAGATAACTTATCTTTCGTTTGCATTAACTTTTCCTCATGCGGTCCTTGTAGAATTTAGAAGACAATCTGGTGCGTGTGATGCCAGCTGGATTGACAAGAAGCACTAGAATATTGAATAAATTCAATTCTCTGCCTAAGGTGAATGAGACGGATATAATCTCAGCAGTTTGTTCTGGACATTTGGATCCTTCAATTATGGCATCATCACCCGGTAATTGCTCTCCGACCATCTATACTAGTATATCTAAAATTTGGTTCCTATTAATTGCTCTCGTTCAATTCTCACGAGATAGAGGATTGACATATTATTGTAACCAAACATATAGCTATCAGGAATTGGAACAGAGTGATTAAGTCGTCTGCTAAAAACACGAGAGGGCATATGTATATATATAATCGAACGTTGTCTTTTTATAATTTCTTAATTTACCAAGAGTAGTTCATTAAGGTATGTTGTTCTACTCTGGTTGCGGTCGCAGTACTTTTTATGCTACTCTACAGCTTTATTACAAAGTTAAGTGATGCACTAGTTTGACAGATTTCTATGAGCTAAGTACTTGTACAATTGCCTTTTTGCAGTGTTGGTCTCGTCTTCATGTTCGACAGATGAGACAGTGGTGGCAGATTCTGATGTAGAATTGGAAACTGCTACGTCAGCTCACAAATCTGTGGTGGTGAACTTAGTTGAGTCTGCTGAAGTTGAATCCGAGAGAAATATAGCAATCCACGAGACGGAATCTTCCGGAAAAGATTGCAAAGCGGAAGATGTTCATATTTCAGAATCCGCCGAGCACAACAGTTTTGGAGGGAATACAGCTGCATTCAAAACTAGCGAACACGAGAGCCAAGGATTTTTACCTCTTAATCGGAGTACTTTTAAACCTGTCAAGACTGATAGTGTCAACAGCATCACTTCATCAGATGACAGAAACGAAGTTACTGTGTCGAGAAAGGATAAGGGCCATTCATCTGAAAGCGAGAATATTGATGTTATATACAGCCAAGATCTAATTGTTCGAGCGCCCAGATTACCACAATCTGGCCGTTCTTCTTCAATAAGTGGTGCATGTGTAGACTTCAAACTTTTCAGGAAGGTAATTAATTTAACCCGTGTTTAAATCTGTAAATGATGACTTAGTTCTTATACATGCCCACATATTTTTAATTTTATTTAATTTTTTCAACTTTTTTTTTCCTTTGGATGATTAAATTGTTATGCATTGTTGATCTTGATTTTGGATTAGACGAGTACTCCATCGGGAAACAGCTTCAGCAATCTTATTCCGTTTTCAAAGTATCCATACGGGTATGAATCAATTTTCTGCTCCATTTCTTCGAATCTAGTCTTATTAGCGTTTAAAACTATATACATGTGAATGCAATGTTTCGTCTTTCGTAGAGATTCTGAATATGGGAATGAAGACGTTGCTGAGTCTGTGAAAGAGGAGAAAAAACGGAAACAGATGGAAGCTATTGCAGATGACTTATTTAACACTGAGAAGGTCCGTACAAGGCAATATATGACTAATCGTCCTAAAAATTCATTCGCCTTTGTGCAAAAACAATACTTACCGATATTATCATGTGATGCAGGGAAGAAAGCGTGCTGCAACTGGTCCTCTTCGTGGGCTTTTTACTCGTGCTTAGTTGAGAGGTATGTCGTATGCAGTGTGTATACTAGTTAGTAATAAATCAAAGTATAATTCATGTGCCAAACACCGTTGTTTCATATCTGGTCGTAATTTGCATTTGTCACTTGTGTTTTTGCTCAATGCTAAAAATATTGTCCTTCTATATATATATATATATATATATATATATATATATATATATATATATATATATATATATATATATATATATATGTATAGTTTCGGGTTTAAAGTGCTCATGAGTTCTTGGGTTTTTAACATTCCAACTCTGCAACCGTTTCTCCTGGCGAGCATTCTTGATAATGTTCAGGCTAATTGATTTCTTGCCGCAAGAATGGTATCATTTTTATTTCAGCCATTCCCTAAAAAAAGATTTTTTATTTTCCTTACCGTGGCTTGGTTCGTGTTAGTATTTCGGCTTCTTTCATTGCGGGGTAGAAATTCGAGGTCCAAAAATTACATTTGTGCTCCCCGTGGGAAGTACAAAAACAATTACATTTGTGCTCCGTTCATTTTTTCTAAAACAATATCCCTCAACATAAACCAAAATAGGTGGAGAAGGTGAGCGCGATGTCTATAAACACAACCTCTACCAATAGGGGTGAGCCGAAAAACCGAACCGAAAACCGAAAAAACCGAGCCGATATGTACCGTCCCGAATTAAAACCGCATACACGGTAATTTTTTTTTGAAAAACCGAAAATATCGGTTTGTGTATGGAGAATTTAAAAATTACCGAACCGATTTCCCGAACCGAACCGATTTATACAAAATGATGTATTTTTGATATATATTATAAATACTTACCCTAGCGTGCCTCTATCTTTCGAGCGCCTCCATGTGACATCGTTTTCTATTAATTAATTTTGGTTGTGACGTGTTTTTTATTAGTTAATTTTCGGTTGTTATTTGTTAATATTCTCAAATAAATATAATGAAAGTCCAAATATATGGGTTTTATGCCGAACCGGTTCGAACAAATAGACGAAATCGAAACCCAAAATAAACCGAATTGATACCGAAACCGTTAACCGAAAACCGAAAAACCGATTCACACCGAACCGAAAAAAAACGACATATTCGGTTTTTAAATTATGAGAAACCGATATTATCTGTACGTGTTTGGTTTATTGGAAAAACCGAGCCGTACCGACCCGTGCACACCCCTATCTACCAACATTTCTTTTTACTGCGTGTGTGGTATGTGGGTTCCCTCTTTTCTACAGCACTCGATTTTGTGATGGTGTGAATGGGTACTTGCCAAATTCACAGTATTCGAATTCAAAGCATACGCACTTGAACATCGATTTATTTATGTATTTAAAATGCTTTCAGTTTTGAGAAACCGAGTAATGCTTCTTCGTTGTTCTTGCGCTACTGCATTCTTCAACGGCTTAATCCCACTTTGCACCCTTGAAATGGAATCTTTTGGCACTTTGCACCCTTGAAAAATAATAATAGCACTTTGCACCGTCAAAACACAATAAATCATTTACAATGCACCCTTAATTGAATGAATAATAAAGGACAATTCATTTTTTATTGGTTTTTTCTTTTCGGGTGTGCAAAATAACAAATTAAATTTTCCTTCAACCTCTAATCTGATTTCGAGCGCACAAAGTTTGAAAAAATAAAAACTACACCGGATAATTGAAAAAAAAAAATCTTACAAAATAAAATCAAATAAAACTTTTATCACCAAATTAGTTAATTGATAGATCTTTTATTGTAATTGTGGAAATATTATGTAAAAATATTTGGAAAAAATATGATTTTCAGAGAACTTGATAACGAAATAGTTGAATGAATTTTTTTTTTCGTAAAAAATATTAGCTTTAAAAACTTTAAAAACCATTAAAAATATTAAATAACGTTTATTAGCTTTAAAAACTCATGTGGGTGCATTATGCATGATATTTTGTTGTTTCGAGGGTGCAAAAAGCTATTAATTTATTTCGAAGGTGTAAAGTGCCAAAATTGTATATTTCAAGGGTGCAAAGTGGAATGAAGCCTTCTTCAACCTATGGAAATCCTCAATGCTACATCCCGTCAGGTTGAACCTGAAATGATTCGATTAAAAAAAAAGGGCAAATTACCAAAACCCCCCTGAGGTAAGCCTGAATAACGAAAATCCCCCCACGTTCTCGTAATTACGAAAAACCCCTGAGGTATGCAGACATCTTACAAATTGCTCTAACGGTGTTAACCTCGATAGAATCTTTTTGATTCCCCCGAATATTCCTCCGATAAATACCAATTTTGCCCTTGTACACGTAGAACGTTCCGATACTTCTATTTACAGACGAAATTACCCTCAGGGGGGTAATTGTAAGCATTTTATTTAATGAAGGGTCATATTGTTGCATAGTTTGTACTTACTGAAATATAACCGTTGCATTTTAACTGTTACTATCTGAGGGGGTTAATTGTAAGTTTTGAGTTATTTGTTGGAATATGATCGTTTTTTGCATCCCTATAAATAAGGTGGAGTTTTCTCTTCTCTTTCACCTCTCTCTCTCTACTTCTCTCTATTGCTTCCATGGATTCTTCTAGCACATTCTCTCAAGTCAGTGAGTTAAAATACAAAAAGGAGAAATGCAAGAGTTGTGGAAAGAAAACAACAATTATGATATCAGAGACGAGAAAAAATCCGGGAAGGCTCTTTTATTGTTGCCCCGAGCACGGCTTCTCACATTGGTGTGAGCCATTTGAAGTTGGTTATAGTTGCTCACATGGCGATACAATAGCTACTCCAAAGTCCAAAGCATGATGACAGTGAGGTGACAAGTGCATCAACAAATCAAGTTCAATCAAAGAAGAATGGCAAGATTGAAGATGGATTAGTTTGTAGTTTGGTAGTGCTAAACCTAGCAATCCTAGTATTATACATGATATGTAAAATAACTGTACTACTATTTCTGCAATAAAATATTGTACCTTACTTTATGATATATCAAACATAAACTAGTATTCAAATTAGCCCATAAGCACCATATGTTTAGTGAATAAATACATATCAAATCAGCTCAAAAAATAGCATGTAAAACATTAACAAAACAACCTTTATAACAGGCTACAAAAGACCACCAAAAACAGGCTAAAAAAACCCACAGAAAACAGTCCATGATATACGAAACACCCCAAAAACAGGCTACAAAACATCCAAAAAACAACCTATAAATCTTCCAAAGAAACAGTCTATGATGTTCTACCTCTTGGTGAAAGACATAAATTTGTCAAAGTGAGTGGGATACCATTTTGCCAGAAGTTTGTCAATATTATCACACTTCATTTTGCCTTTTGATTGCATTGATTGCTCTGAAGTTGCGTTGCTCTTTAAAACTGTTGCATTAGCTGCTGCACTTGAAGATGGTGATGCTGCACTTGAAGATGGTGCTGCAACATTGCCTTTTGAGACCACCTTAGCTGTTGCACTTGTCTTTTTTCTCTTCTTAGGTGCTTGAGCATAGGTTTGAGTAGTCACTTGGACATCATCATCAAATGCATGAGCATAGGCTTGAGCAGTCACTTGGGCATCATCATCAAATTCATGAGCATAGGCTTGAGCAGTTACTTAGACATCATCATCAAAAGCATGAGCAGAGGCTTGTGCAGAACTCTGAAATAAAGTAAAAACAGCTAAAAAAAATAATAAAAAATTAAACAGAATACAGAACACACAAAAACAGGAGGAAACCAAAATACATAATAAGAAAATTAAAAAACAGAATACCTGGGACTTGGAACTAGCATTTGTTCGTTTTCTTCTAGTCAACACTGATGCTTCACCTTGTCTTTCAGGATTGCTAAAGGCTTGAAATTGTGTATTTTCCTAGAATATATATGTATTTTCTTAGAAACATAGAAACAAATTGTAAGAACACATGAAGTAAAAATAATAAATTGTACAACATACCCCACTAGCTGTGGTTGTGGCACCTCTCCTAGACTGACTTGGTCCTTTGCAAGTTCTAATGTTATGCCCCCAACCTTTGCATCTCTTGCATCTAACCACAGTTGATCTTTTCTGTGATTGACCTTCTCCAGCCTCTATTCTTCTATTTTTTTAGGTCTCCCAGGCAACCTCCTATTAGTAGGAGGTTGCAGATCCTTTGGAGTGGCATCCAGGTGTTCTCGCCAGAAATCAGGGTGGTTAACAGGATTAATATAATGACTATAAACTCTCATGTAAGTTTCCTTGGAAAAATACTTATCTGTATAATTCTCAAGCCTCTGCCTATTGTGTTTAATTGCAACTATGGCATGTTTACAGGCATTCCAGACAAATCCCAATCTTCACAGTCACACCTCTTGTTTGATAAATGCACAACAAAATGATTTCTTTTGTCTTTAATTTGAAACTGATCATTTCCAGCAACTACAATCTCACACTTCATAGACTCTTCAACTGCAATATTTAACCTGTCAACTACAGTTGACATTAATTCATGTGTGGACTTCTACCATTTTGCAGTCCTATTTGTAAGCCTTAATTAGTTTACACCTAAGATCATCCAACAAACTCAAGAAAGACAGATGTCTAAATTCTTCAATCCAATTATTAAAAGACTCTGAAATGTTATTAGTAACGTGATCATTTTTAAGCCTTTTATCAAAGGCATACATTGATCACTGCTCAATTGGAATAGCTAGCAACCACTTATATCCATTAAGGTTCAATTCTTTCATTTTATACATTGCAAAGTTAAATCCAGAGGGAGTATATGACCTGGCAGCTGACCAAAACCATTTCTTCAGTGCACCTCCAGAAAAATGAGTTCTGAAATTAGCACAAATGTGCCTAGCACACCTTTTGTTCATTACATTGGGGGCCATCTATGAAATTGTCTCCACCAGTCCTTGAAATAAAGAAAAAAAATGCATTATGACATTATTTTGATCAAAAAACATAATTATAACAAAGACACTATGAAAGTCCTTAAATGACTTTACCTTCTGCCTATCGGTCATAAAAGTCCATGGCTTTCCATCAGAAAATCCTCCCAGCATGATTGTGAGATTATGAAAGAAGAAACTCCAACTGTCCCTATTCTCTGTCTCAACAATAGCAAATGCTATTGGATATAGGCCATTGTTGCCATCCAATGCTATTGCTAAAAGCAACACACCACCATATGGCCC